CTATTTGTAAAATAACAGCTCAACAAAAAAATTCACGGAATATATCATCTGATAGAGAATTTCATGGGCTACAAGATAGACTGCCTTAAAAATTTTAGAATACATTTTTGGCCGCTCGGTACGTCGACTTTACTGAGAAAAGTGGGAATTCTACCTCTAATTCGCAATTTTCCGCATCAGAACTCAACTTTTACACAATGAAAATATCATATTCGGAATCAGCGTCGAAAATCGAGTCGAATGATATACTTTTTTATCTTATTCGATCACTTTAATGTTTTTTGAATTTTCACGTCGAAGGAAGAACTGAGATCTTCATCCAAAAATTAAAGTGATCGAAAGATAAAAAAGTATATCATTCGACTCGATTTTTGACGCTGATTCCGAATATGATATTTTCCTTGTGTGAAAGTTGAGTTCTAAATGAGAAAATCGCGAATTAGGGTTGGAAGTTCGATGTGTCCCAGTAAAGTCGACTTTTCTAAGCAAGCAAGCCTAGAAGCAAGCCTTTCTTTTAAGCCTAGAAAGGGGGTTTTAATTTTTCTCATATATACAGTTTTGTAGAGCTCTATCGAACCATATATAAATGAAGCGAAAAAAATTTGCTCGACTTTTGAATTAGATGCACCTTAAATCGGGGTGTTTTCCTCTTTACGAAAACCCCTTCGTTAAGCGACTTCATAAAAAAGATTTTCTTCTTCATCCGAAAAAGGAGTTAATTACTTACCTGCATTGACGAACACCTATTCGCAACAGGACATTGTAATCGTTTCTTACAAGGCAAACAAGTTTTCTTTGTGCGATAGGGTGTTAGCTAAGCAAGTTTTAATCCGCATTATCCAAAGCTGCAGGTGAACAGTGTTGAAGAATGAAGAGAAATTTCATCAGGTGTCCAACTATGGACCTTGACCTGCATGTACACTCTCTAAAAAGTTGTTGAACACTTTCGAGAGAGCAAGTATTAGCAGAGTTTGGAAGAAAAATAAACTTATAATAACTCATATTTTCGGTTACTTATATAGATGAATGAGAGCAAAACAAAGGAGTGATTGAAAGTAGAGTCATTAAATCTTATTAAGATCTTAAACGATAAGATCTCAGATTATCTTATCCAAATCTTAAATGATAAGATCTTATAAAATAATTTTAAGAAGTGTCTAAGATTTTTACTAGGGTTATTATTAGTTGTCTGAATCTTATAGAGAAAAGCCTTAGTTCATATTACCCATTTCTTAACAGTTAATGTTAAACCCGCTAAAACTGATGTAAGTGTAGATGCCAAATGTAGGACGAACAATTAATTTCTATATTACAAAAAAATTTTAAATGTTCATCCATACAAACAGAACAAAAACAAAACAAAAACGGAACTACTTTCCGGGAAAGTTCATTTTATGCGATAGAGACAACAATAACAACAGCAACGCTGCTAAATCTACAAATAGATAAAACATTCGCAACATTTTAGATCATCAGGGTCATACAGAAGGGTTAGAAATTGGCAAATTAGCTTGATACATTATGTAATTAGTAAAAGGAGATGCTTAATAGTCGATCATTCAAACTATCCTCTCTGTCCAGTAAATGTCTTCTACATAGATTTTCAGTTGGTAACGTTGCCTTTTTTTGCTTTAAATTGTGAAATATCACTTCCTTTTCTTTTATTTCTTTGCAGCTAATTTCGTAGAGATAAGGATAGAATTAAAACGAATAAAAGTAGAAATGAAACAAATATCCCTTAACATTGATGGAGTTTCAACAAAACTGGATGAATCTATCAATACGTGTAATGGTTTAAAAGCAAGTTTAGCATCATTAACAAAACTGATGATAGAAGTTTTAAACATACAAAAATTTGTACGTAAAGAACTATCAGCATCGCATTCCTACACATCTAATTTGATTACTGCAGTATCTTTTATGTTTTTAGGCAACAAGTACAAATGTTCAACAGGAGAATCGTCCAGTAATTGTAAGTCATTTCCTTTTGTCTGAATAAGTTAAGAATAATGTGGTTTCTTTTTCGGTCTGTCTAGACT